GCCGTCCCCGCGCCACCACCGCTACCCTATCGTCATTCCCCAAGGATTGGCGTGAGGGCAAGTACGTTCACAAACAAACATGGACCGCTACCTTCATGACCCAGATCCCATGGGCTCAACGACTCCTGCTTTCAACACCAGCACCCCCACATCATCACGATCGTACACGCTGAACCGAGAACCAGTTCAGCACAGTGAGCAGAAATCTGAGACCAGCTCCAATAGTGAGAAATCCTTCGGCAGCCGCAACATGCATCGCGGTAATCAACGCGGTGGTCGTGGCGAAAATCGTGGTGGTAGAGGTGGCAACCGCACATACTCTGGCAGTTCCGGTAGCTCTAACGGCCAGTACAACCCCAACCGACCAACTCTCAAGCCCGCTTCGGCATCTCAGTCCTCTCAAGCTCCACGTACTCTCATGACAACTATGGAGCAGGTCCCAGCCCGCGTAGACCCACCAGTTACCCCGGTCAAACAGCTCTCCTCTTTCGACTTGAACGGCAACAGCATCAACGAGACCTACATCGCGAGAGCTAGTACCACTCCAACACCATCTCCGGCAAGATCACCAATGATAAGCCCACCACGACAGGCCACTCAAGCGTCTCCTCGATATGGAGGTAATCGCCCGCGCTTCAACTCAGCTGGTCAGCGTAGTCCACAGAGGCCAATTGTGAGGAATCAAACTCAGCATTGGGCCCATTACCAGGAACTGAAGCTCAGGTTATCGGGCTTACCCAAGAGCTGCTGGACGAAAGAGGTGTATCAAGTAATGGCGTCGTTTGGTTCTGTCATCAGGATCGAGATGGTCTCTGGCACCCGAGACTACTCCGCTTACGTGGTGTTTCGGTGAGTATTACTTCCGTCGATAGATGTCTACTCTAACATTTTCCTTGCAGACCTCCCCCAGTGAAGACCATTCCTCATCAAAACCTTCGTATCGGCGGTGCTCTCGTAAGGCTTGAGATACTCCCTTCACAAGTCAAGACCGTTCCGAGCCCAGCCAATCCCGCCAAATCATACTACGAGATCAATGTCCTACCTGTACATGGGCTCGACTTCGGCGTCAACGTGGCAGACAAGACCATGATTGCGATGCATACCTTGCGTTCACCGGGCATCATCTACATGACGCTGAACCTGATGCGCAAAGAGCTCGACATTCAGTTCTCAGTCGATGTCGATAGCCAGATGCGCAAGTTTCGCTTTGCGTTGCCAATTGCCCTGCTCTCTCGTATATACAAGACCATCGACAAAGTCACTGGTCAGCCGACTTTGATCATTCCGTTCAGCTCACCCCCGCAGTTCTACATGCAGCGAAGTGAGGGTCAGCATCTGGAGGACGGAAGACAATGCAGTACATTCTCTAGGAAAGAGAGAGCTTGGAATGCCTGGGACACTTGGTTCCGGGCAACCGATATCATTAACAACGCCGTCGAGAGCAAGTTCCAAGGCTTGCCGTTGATGAACCATAAGGATACCGCCATAATCGACATTGGTAAGTGGCCTGTACCTTCATCAAACATCGCTCGACTAATAGATTCATTAGGACGATGGACGAGTTATCGCATGATCTTCGACGCGACAGTGATGACTGGGCCCAAGTTTAAGGACTTCAGCGATGCTCTCGCCGATCATGGCGTCGCAATTGAGGACCTTGACGAGTATACGATCCAAGACATGGTCCCGTCGCCTCTATGGTCACTGCTACAAGAAGAGATATCTGGCACACATCCACATCTTGAGTCGACACCCTCAAAGGGCTCGGTCTTCGAAGATCTCTTCGCTGGCCAGTTTCATCTAAGCTTTCCCGTCCGGTACCAACTCGAGGCGTGTCTATCGAACGGCTATTTGAAGGAACACAACATCACGAGCGACTTCTTAGAGAAGCTCACAGCGATGGAACCTCGCCGCGCCATCTACATCCTAGAGAAAGTCGTCGACAAACAGCACGTCTACTACGATCCGATGGAAATATTCGGCATTCGGGTCAAGGACCTTGCGAGGAAAATTCCTAGCTACTGCATCCTTCAACGATTGGTGGTAATCACCCCAACCATGATGCATGTAGCATCGCCTAACATGGAGACCTCTAACAGGATCATCCGCAAGCACGCCGCTGATGGCGATCGTTTTATCCGAGTCAAGTTCTCCGACGAGAAGACAGAAGGTCAACTGCGCAATATGCCCAACGGAAGGGCTGAAGCTGCATTCGACAGGGTACGTCGGGCCATGAAGTATGGCATCGTCGTCGCCGGAAGATACTATGAGTTCTTAGCATTTGGCAACTCACAGTTTCGCGAGCATGGGGCATACTTCTACGCGCCTACTTCCTCCAAGTCCGCCGATGACATCCGCCTCTCACTGGGCAACTTCGATCACATCAAGACCGTCGCCAAATTCGGTGCTCGTCTCGGTCAATGCTTCTCAACCACTCGCGCGATGCGGGACAACGTTAAAGTTATAACAATACCCGACATCATACGTAACAACTATACTTTCACAGACGGCGTCGGTAAGATCTCACTCTTCCTGGCCCAGATGGCTGCCCAGGAACTCGGGCTTGCCCGCGCGTTCGACGACCCGCCGTCTCTATATCAATTTCGCCTCGGTGGCTGCAAGGGGGTGCTTGCCCTGGATCCAAAGATCACTGGTCCTGAGGTTCATATAAGGCCCAGCCAGATGAAATTCGTGGCACCCTACACTGGTCTGGAGATAATACGATCTTCCTCGCTTGCGACACCGTTCTTCAACCGTCAGATTATCGTGGTCTTGTCATACCTTGGCGTACCCGATTCTGTGGTAATCAGGAAGCAACAAGAGATGATCAATGACTACGAGACCGCAATGGTAGACGATGGCGTTGCCTTGCAGAAGCTCCGAAAGCACATCGACATGAACCAGACTACGTTGACCATCGCAGGAATGGTCCTCGATGGATTCATGAAGTCTCAAGATCCGTTTGTCATGTCTCTCCTCAAGCTTTGGAGGGCTTGCACCATCAAGAACCTCAAGGAGAAGGCTCGGATAGCCATCGATGACGGCGCATTCGTACTCGGCTGCGTTGACGAAACAGCAACACTTCAAGGCCATATGAACGACCTCCAGCTCGATGCTACGAATGAGGAGAAGCTTGCCACACTCCCCGAGATCTTCCTGCAAGTCGATGATACGAGCAGGAAAGGACACTACAAAATCATCCAAGGATTGTGTGTCCTGGCGCGAAACCCATCACTTCACCCGGGAGATCTTCGAGTCGTTCGCGCAGTAGATGTACCGGGATTACATCATCTCAAAAATGTCGTGGTGCTGCCACAGAACGGGGATAGAGACCTCGCCAACATGTGCTCTGGTGGCGATCTTGACGGGGACGATTATATGGTGCTATGGGATCCAGATCTCATACCCCAAAACGTCAATATGCCTGCCATGGATTTCACAGCCGAAAAGCCGATTGAGACCAACGATCCCATTACGGCCGCCCACATTGGCGAGTTCTTCGTCAGCTATATGAAGAATGATACCCTTGGCCAGATTGCGCACGCCCATCTAGCCAATGCTGATCTCCAAGCCGATGGGGTCAACGACGACAAGTGCCTTGCTTTGGCGGAGTTGCACTCCAAAGCCGTCGACTTCCCCAAGAGCGGGTTGCCAGCCGAGATGGCGCGGGAACTGAGACCGCATAAGTACCCACATTTCATGGAGAAGAAGCATCTCCCAGAGAACAAGATCTATCATTCGAAGAAAGTATTAGGTATCCTTTACGACCAAGTGCAGCTAGTCGACTTCAAGGTAAGTCTTGACCGCACGAGATGCATGTGAGACATACACTGACTTAGTATCTTCATTTTTGTAGCCTCAATGGGAAAACCCATTCGATAAGCGCGTCCTGGATGCCTTTGAGCTCGGCGACGAAGTTTTGGCGAAAGCTGCGGAAATCAAGACTTCATACGATGAGTCCTTGCGGCGCCTGATGGCCAAGCATGGCATCCAGACAGAGTTCGAGGCCTGGTCTGTATTCGTCATAGTGCATAACCATGAAGTAAGTCCTGATTGTTCGAGATCCGTGACACATACTGACTTCGCACCCTTGCAGAGCCGAGATTACAAATTCGCAGAAGAATTTGGAAGGACTATCGGTGCCTTCAAATCACAATCCAAGGATGAATGCCGAACTGCTGCAGAAGACAACCTGGAGAAGTTTGTCGCCGCGATGTATGTGGTGACTGCGAGAGAGATGGAGACTGCATTGGCCGAGTGCCGTACGATAAAGACAGTTGGTGGTAGGGACGTTCCGGTGCGACCTATGGAACCGGAGCACATGCCCTTGATCTCATTCCCGTGGCTCTTCCCAAACGAATTGGGAAAAATTGCGACCGGCGGCGCGACCACCCGACAGCTAGACGTCCAGCAGAACATCCCAACCCGACCCAAGAAGCACCCTGGATCTTCCACGCTGGCAGAAGTCGATACAGAGATTGGTATTGTTGAGACCGAAGCAGGTATCACGCGTTACGGGGAGTTGCTGGACCTGGATTTTAGCCTCTAAGGAAGGACAGAGTGGCGGAGGAGGCATGAGGATGATAAGGAGTACGAGTAGGAAGCTTTCAGGAAAAGTTGAGCTTAAAGACTACAATGGTAGTTTTGATGGCAAAGCGAAGTCAACAGCGGGCCGGGGAGGATACGGCGTGGGCCAAAGGTGCAGAAAAGTACGGCGGGTGTTTCTGGCTGGCGGCGTTCATGGCTGACCTTGCGACGGACTGGCTTTGGGGTTCGTGTTATGTCTGAAGGGCGTGCGGGAGTTGTTCACCATGAAGGTAGAGAAAACCATAAAACCAAAGAAAAAAGTAGAAAATAGAGAAAAGAAAACTTACACGCACCTCTTGACATGGGTGATGTCTCTTTTTCTATAAAAACACGCTATGACGATGACAATGGCGGGTATCGATAAGCTGCACACTACGCGCAACTCATAATTTCCACTTGGTGTCCGCGTCACGATGCCACCCTCGACGCGTATCCCAGCGCTCCTTCAACCCTACGTCCAACTACCGCACGACTCGATCCTCCTGCTCACGAGCACCCTCGGCGCGAGCGCGAACTGGCTGCTCATCCGCTTCCTCTGCAATGAGCTGGGCACACAGGATGGCGGGGACGAGGGGCACAACGTCGTCCTCGTCTCTTGGATGAGAGAATACGACTTCTGGAAGCAGGAGGCGCGAAAAGGCGCAGCGCTTGATCTGGACAAGCTGAGGAAAGAGGGACGCTTTGCCTTTGTTGATGGACTGGGTGCTGGTGGGAATGCGCCAGACAGTACAGCAGAGAGACCATCGCGAACCGATGCGCAAGCAACACCACGAGTCCCGGTATCGAATGCGACACCACAGAGAGGGCCACAGATATTGCCTGCGCGAGGACCGCCTGGACGGATAGTGCCTGCGAGAGGGCCACCTCCATCCGCCCCAGCGGCGGCGCCAGCTACATCACTAGCTACGACCATCGCGAACGGCCCGGCGAGTACAAACCAAAGCGTCCCCGGACACTATACGCTCAAGAGCCTCGAGATCGCAGACATCAAGTCTACTATCTCCAGCGCCATCTCCCCACTCGCTACATCCCCCGCCCGAAAGACGCTCATCATCTTCGACAACCCCGATCTCCTCCTCGCGCTCAACCCAGCCATCACACCCTCCCACTTCACCACCCTCATGCTGCAATTCCACACGCTACCGAACGTATCCCACATCCTCGCGCACCTACAAGCCGACAACCCACTCCTCAGCCTCTCCACACCTCCGCAGCCGCTCGAAGTGGCGCATCATAACTTGGTTGTCAAATGCGCACACATGAGCAGGAGGATACTAGGTGTCAGAGTATTAGACACTGGCGTCGCGAGGGATGTGAGCGGTGTGATACGCATCACTGAGCAGAGAAAGCAATGGTTTGATGTGGGCTTTGGCATTGAAGCTAACAAGGATGGCGACGACAGTGGGAGAGGCAAGGAGTTCTTGTATCAGGTCAAGAGCGACGGCAGCGTAAGGGTGTTCGAGCGTGGTGCTGGAGGAGAAGGCTGAGGTCTACATCTCAGGCTTGACGAGCAATTCGTGCATCTGCACCCCTCGTTGACGCTGCAGGATCATCGCCTCTCTCCGCGGATGCAATGCACAGGAAGGTGTATATATAGTCGTCTCGGCTACATAGCATGCTCCAAGCCACGCAATGGAAAAGACCCACACATGATCAATTCTTATCATCAGCTGTCGAATACCTCAGGCTAACTCCTACGTTACTGCAACAGAACTACGCGAGCCTCGCAGAACGCCGCATCTTTGTTGGTTAGGCATCCATACACGTGATCCACCTATTCACTATACATTCACTTACTAGCGTTACCCCTCTACTATATATACTAGGGGTTCCTCCCTCTACATAGAACATTAATACATTGTACACTCCTCTCTGTTCTACAGGTTATGAGCCTATTAACGCTTCTGAGCGCGACTTAGCTACCTACATTACTCCTCTCCGCTAACTACACGGCGCTCGACTATATTGTCATCCGCGCCTCTAACTGCGCTACCTCGCGAACACTTCTCGCTCCCTGTTAAACATAACTACTCTCTACAGCGTTACCGCTATCCTTGGCAAGGACTTCAAAAAGCTTGATGGACCTAACAACTACAACGAGTGGTTTAAGGCTTTTGAAGAGCTTGCTTTTCTTAACAGTTATTCCGACATCTACAACGGTTAGGTCACCCCCCTTCTTAAGCCTGAACTCCTGACCTTTGCTACTTCTAGGCCTTAGCGATCTACCCGTTCTTATCCTAACGGCGATATTATTTTACAAATTACTATATTGTACCTGCTAAATAACGCCGCTAACTAACTCGCTGTCTACTGGACTTAGCTAGAAAACTAGAAGGAGTTCGACAAGACCTCCCGCTCTGCTACTGCTCTCCTCCGCGCTGTAGTTGAGCCTTGGGTTTGGAAAGAACTTACTACTGATGAGTCTCTTAATCTACGCGATGCTTTCATTGCTATCACCGCTAACAACAAAGCGCCTAACGCTGTTATACTCGATTGCGCTCTTATTAAGCTCGATTAAATTAAGATGCAGGATCTAGCTAATGTTCGACTTCTTCTCACTTAGTTCGAAGAACTCCATTACGATATTGGTACCGCGGGAGGCACGTTGTCTTGTGCTCAGCTTATTAGCAAGATCGGAGCCTCTCTAACTAAACACTATAACCTGTTCCTTAACTACTAGAAAATGTCTCACTATAATGTCGAGATCACTAACACTGTGTTTAAGGACTTTAAGTCTCTCCTTATCGATTTCCGCAACGAGCATAAGGACTTCTAGAACAACGCTAAAGACACTAAGCCTTATAAGGCTAACGATAAGGGTAACAATAGGAACAAGTCTGTCGCTAAGGCCTCTTCTGGCGAGCGCATTACATGCTCTTATTGCAAAGGCAACGGTCACTCTGTTAACACGTGCAAGTACGTCGGCAAACTAGACGTCTCTAAGTGCACCTACAAGGACTGCGGTAAGCTTAGTTACATAGAGGACAACTGCTGTATGAAGGCTCGCGCCCTTAACAAGACCTCTAAGGACTCTACTATAACTTCTGCTAACGCCGATGTTGCTATTCCCGATTTCGACTCTGACTTTGGTATAGCTCGTATCGTCGCTTCTACTAACGACATGCACCTCCACGACCCTATAAACTGTACGTCTCTATTCCTCTCTATGCCCTACACCGCTGACGTGTCATAGAACTGTGATTACGGTGACGGGATAGGCTTAAGGGGGGCCGCCTAAGGTAGCTAGGACTGTGGTTCTGGGCGTACATACATGGTTGATAGGACAATGACACCTTCTGCCTTTGCGGCTATTACTACTGCTTCACTGTCTAATCTCTGGATCTGTGACTCTGGTGTAGCACGTCACATTATAAATAACTCTTCTCTCTTTACCCGTCTCGATCTTGTTACTAAGGCTATTAGCAAGTGTAAGAAAGGATCTGAACTTGCTATATGCGGGAAGGGCACTATTGACATCGTCATCACTGATTCCAACGGCAATCACTCTATCCTCGAGCTCTATGACGTTCGCTACGCACCAGACGCACGTTGTAACTTGCTCTCTATCTCTACATTGTTAATGTCTAGACAGGGTTTCAAAATCCTAATTGACGGACAAGATATGCTTATCTATAGCAAGGGCGCTAACCGCAACGTTGCACTTGCGTCTTTGCATCCAAGCGCTAACGTTTACGTGTTTTATGCGAAACGATCTCCTACATTACCTACTGCCGCTGCAGTAGTCGATTTCGACGACCCTATTTAGTCAGAGCATCGCCGTCTTGGGCATCTAAGTCTGGACGGTATGCGCCGTCTTCTTAAGATTAGTGACAGTATTAAAGTTACCGATAAGCAGATTTAGGCTAAGATGAACGATCTTTATCCTATCTGTCACACTACTCAAGCGCTTTATAAGATCCCTTGTAGACCCGCTCAACAACATTACAACACTTTTAGGCAGCTCGTTACCGTCGATACATAGGGTCTCTACCCAACGCTAGGGCTCGACGGCGAGCGTTACGCCCTCTGCCTTATTGATGACGCCACCTGTTTTACCTGGGTCGAACTATTTCTAACTAAGGACTAGATCTCTGCGCTTCTTACAAGCCTCCTCACTCGTTTGGCTAATAAACACGGTTATCCAATAGTTCGAATGCGATGCGATAACGAGTTTGTTACCCGCAGTATCAAGGCTTACTACGCATCTAAGGGTATCACCGTCGAGAATAGTGTTCTCTACGCCCATTTTGACGCCGGCGCGATAGAGCGTTCTCACCGTTTAATGCGAGAGCGTGCCTCTGCTATAATTAAGGACTTTCAACCTAGCTCTGATATAACTAAAGCTATCATTAATTAGACTAAAGAGACGCTGCGCAACGCTACTCTCCCTGACGGGCTCTAGACTTACGCTGTTCGCGAAGCTGTATATAAGAAGAATTAAGCTCCCTCTAAGGCCCTGAAGTATGCGAAGACACCCTAGGAGGCCCTCTACGGCACCAAACCTGACCTTAGCAAGGACAATGCTTGGGGCGCACGGGTCTACGTGACAATACCGCCTAAGCTCCGCCTTGCTGCTGAAGCTAGGAAGCTACATGTTCCTCGCGCATATGTCGCTCATTTCTTGTGCGCGGACAGCGAAAAGATATGTTGGGTGTAGTACTTAGACAAGCGTATTGTAAAGCGGGTCACTATGGCTCGTATCGATAACAGCACGGGCATGGACGATCCTCAGCCTCACGGTCAGCACATTAACGAGCGAGATCCACGCTCTATAGTTCCTATCCCCACTAACGCAACTAACGACGACGATGACAGTGACGCAGGCAGCGACTATACCTCCGTCCCGAGTGAGGCTTTGGAAGCAGCTGTTTTCGTTGCCTCCTCTAGTAATTTTTACTATAAGGGCACACCGACTTATCTGAGCGATTTATACGATCTTATGGAAACTTAGCAACTTCGCAACCTCGCGGAGGAGCGCGACCTCCCTAACAACGGCGCACGCCGTAGATTGTTAGCTGACCTCCGTAACCGCGACAACGGGCCGCCTCTAATACTATTCGATGTACCTAGCATTTCCTCTAGTACACGCTCTGTGGTCTTGGCCCTAGACGTCGACTATACCGTGTCCCCGTTTTTTGCGGCTCCTGTGCGACATTTTCACAGCGGTTAATGGCCTTTACATCCTTCCTAAGACTATGCCGACACTCTAGAGCCCTGTGCTCTCCACGACAATAACTGCGACGATAACTCCTTCTTATATTCTCTCTAAGTCAACCGACGGACGACACGATGTATTATCACTAACACTGACCTAAGGCCTATTTACATCTCTAGTGGAGACGACACGTCCTCTGAACACGGCTCTGACGACGATCGTCTAGACTCTTACGTTTTGGTTCCCTCTACTCCGCAAGAAACCTAGAACTATATTTCTACGCTACTTGTTTCGCCTAGCACTTCTTAGCAAGACGATCCCGCTCTTAGCCTTTCCTCTAGTTACGAGGCCGTATTATCAACTCCGGTTCCTGAGAGTATGCAGGATGACTGTCTGAATTGCATGGCCAGTAAATTCCGTTGTTACAGGGACCCCGAGTCTAATAACTCTAAATGTTAATATTGCCGTAAATACCGCTACTAGTGTATTCTAGCTACTGACGAGCAAGCTGACTGTATATTAAATGCATGTTAACTATGCAGACGCTTAAAGATACTAATTCGTACATGCACCCGCGACGCACCTGGGGAACCATGCAATCACTGCAAATCTACCAACTAACATCTTACCTGTGTTCTACGACGAACTCCGACATCTCGCCCTACGTTGCCCGAAGCAGATCGTTGTCTCACGTGCCGGAAAATGTCCAGGCAGACTCTGAAGAAACACGGCTTAAGTCCTAGGCAATGCGACGGACAATACCCTTGCAACGTCTGCCTTGCTGACAACCGAGCTTGCATATCTCCTTCTACTAAAGACAACGAGCCGTGCAATCATTGCATCTCTCATCATACCAGCTGCGATCTAGGCATCCTATGTTCTAGATGCGTACGTCTTAAGACCATGTGCGGCCGCTTCTCCCACAACGGCACGCAATGGACGGGTATATATCCTGATGGTGCGCTCGATCACGTACAAGACGACGTTTGTTTCTCGTGCTTCGCGGCACGACGTGACTGCTCTTAGCACTACCTATGTTACTAATGTCTTAGTTTGACTGGGCACTTGTCGGCTTATAGTTACGCTAAATGCTGCTCTAAGAAGGTCGATGATAATACTTTGGTGTCAAAAGAGAAAGCCGCTTATTCTCTTAATGATGATGTCGAGCCCTTTACTATCACCTATAATATGTCCTATGTGGGACACAGATACACCACTAATCCCTATTAGGGAAGCAAGCTCGACGACGATGCCGACAACCCTACAGACATGGATGAGGGTCTTCTTGATGACGACCTGCTCGACTTAGGTCTCTTAGCTACTCTATGTCTCTCGCATTCTTTGAACCACGATATCGAGGTCTATGACAGTCTTAACAACGATATTACCTACCTCTTATCTCTCTCTTTACAAGGTATTAGTGCACCGGCCTATAACGACTAGCTAGATAACGATCTCGATCACTTGCATCTACAAGTCGCGGGCCTATCGCCCAGTACTCATCTCCTTGATAACGACCTCGATGACCTACATTTCGACCTCGCTATGGCCGCTACACCTTCTATCTCCGCTGCGTCTATTTGTATACCACGGAATTACAAGAAAGCTATAACTACGCTCTAGGCAGATGGCTGGCGCACTGCGACGTATGCTGAGTTTGACTTACTTCTGCAGAAGGGGGTATACAAGGTGGTGACCCTTCCCGCTAGTGCTAAGGCCCTCCCAACAAAGATCGTGTTCAAAGCTAAACCTACCTCTACTAGCGATCTTGCTAAACTCAAGGCGCGTGTTGTTGTTCGCGGAGACCGCTAACGTCCCGGCGACTATAATGAGACGTTCTCTCTAACTGCACGGTCTATATCTATTCGCATCCTGCTCGCAATCTGTGCTTTACTTGATTAGGTTACCGGCCAATCCGACGTTTACGTCGCCTTCTTGAACGCTACTCTCTAGGAGACACTCTACGTCATGCCGCCCCCGCCTATAACACTGGCTCCGGGCAAGGTCTGGATGCTTGTGAAGTCCTTGTATGGTCTCGTACAAGCCCCTCGTGCATGGTACGATACACTTACCGCACAACTCCTTCGGATGGGGTTTCGTGTATCTCCCTTTGACCCGTGCATCTACATCTACACCACTAAAGCACTTATTATCTCCGTACATGTCGATAATATTCGCATGTACGCTGTTAGCTACACACTTATCCACAATTTCCGCGAAGAACTGTCTGAGACATTTACTATTACATCCAAAGATCCCGACGCTCTCTACCTTAGTATGCATATCGAACATGCGCAGGGTACTATTAAGATCTATCAAGCCGAGTATATTCGACGCCTGCTAGACCGTTTTAGTTTCTACAACCTTCCGTCTGCACAGACTCCTTGCGACTATCGCGATAAGCTCCGTTGAGAAAAGGACACCGTTGCTGGAGTACAATTCTGTAAGGAGTATCTCTAGAAATTTGGTTCACTTAATTACCTCCCCGCTATGACACGAATCGACCTCGCATATGCCGCTTCTCTTTATGGCTAGTATAATGCCAACTCTAACTAGACCTACCTTGACGCTCTTACGCGCGCTTATGCATACGCATAGCGTACCGCCGACGCGGGCATTACCTATTACAAGGGTGATGCCTAGCTGCTTAGCTACTGCGACTCTGACTAGGCTAGTTGTCTTAATACTCGTTGCTCTACTACGGGATATATCTTCACCCTCGCTGGAGAACTAGTGTTATGGTCTTTAGGTATTTAGAAAGTTACCGCCCTTTCTATATGCGAAGCTAAATATATAGCTCTCTCTAAGGTAGTTAAAGAAGCATTGTGGATTAAAAAATTCATTAACGACCTACACACGGGTCTCTATTTTAACAATATTCCTATCTATGTTGACAACGAGTCTGCTGTTAAGCTGTCGAAGAATCCTAAGTTCTATTAACGCAGCAAACACATCGACATTCGTTACTATTTCCTTCGCGAACACGTTTGTGACGGCGACATTACCGTTACATGGATTAGCGGCAAGGCAAATCTAGCTAATATGCTTACGAAAGCGTTAGACCCTACAAAGTTCAATACTATTTACAGTACTCTAGGTGTCTCTTATTACGCAGACAGCGTGCATCCCAAGTTAGGATCCAGAGGGGCTGTTAGTTAGGCATCTATATACGTGATCTACCTATTTACTATACATTCACTTACTAGCGTTACCCCTCTACTATATATACTAGGGGTTCCTCCCTCTACATAGAACATCAATACATTGTACACTCCTCTCTGTTCTACAATCTTGTGCATGTCTGCATGCAGCGACCGACGAATACGGACGCGGCTCCTGATATCACCCGCCGCCCCCCGGCCCCGAATCCTCCTACCTGGGCACCCAATCCTCCGCGCGCGATCATCGGCGAGCGACTAACCAACAGTGCACCGGCGACACCCCGAACTTTTGCGCTGCTATGCAATCAATACAACACCGCTATTATCATCCTGCTGCAGTGATACAACCACGCCGCCCGCAAAACCCGCGCCATCACATTCGTATGCCTGGTGACGACAAATAACGAACTCGATACGAATTCCCCAGTTCATCCCCAACAACAGCGCATGCGGCTATATACAAATGTGCAGCCAGATCCTTCGCACTGCACGCTCTCTATAACTAGAAAGGTTGACGACGTTCAAAGCAGGCTATCCTTACCTAACCGATGCCATTCCATCAGGGCGGATTTGGGGGCGCCTTACACAGCAGCATGCGGCACAGTTGCCTCGTCCAATCAGTCATGCTCGACGCCACGACGCGGCCTCCCGGGGTCAAACGTTTGCTTCAAACAAGGTGACAGGGACCACTCGGCGAGAAAGAATAAGCGCTGTGATGATGATGGGCAGGAAGGAAGGCAGAGGAGGAAGATGCCGCTTGTGTAAGACATGCGTGACGTGGAAGTATATATGCTTTAGAGTTTCGCTGCTGACAGCAATGGCACCGAGATGTCTGCCTGCTACTAAAATCTATCTATTCCCCAGCCTTGGACTTGAAGGATTGCATTATTCTCCTCAGCTTCAATCAATCGACCTTACTTTACCTCGACTCCCACAGTATCTCACAAAACAACCCCAACAATGTCAACCCCCTACCTCCTCGACCTCCCCACAGAGATCCTCAACCACATACTCAACCCCTTACCCACATCCTCCCTCCTCCGCTTCTCAGAAACCTCCCGTCACGCCCGCATCCTCGCCAACGCCAACCTGCACACGCTCTCTTTGGGAATCGCGCCCCTCGCTCCTGCCTTTTTCAAGTACCTCGACCCGTCCGTCACTACTAGTACAGCCAATCCCTATGAAATCTGGCTACGCATTCCCCAGGCAAGAAGTTACGAGTACCTGACGTTGCATAACTTCCAGAGCGCGTTGGTAACCAGCATACTAAAGCGCCATGGCACCATGCTCCAGCATCTCAACATCAGTGTTTGGGCATTAACGTTGCCCATGGCGAAAGCCATCAAGGACTTACGCGCTCTCCGCACCTTTTCACTCAGAATCGAAAGCGGCGTTCGTTATGTACGTGGCATCCCGCGGTCGCGTATCGCTATCGAACGAGAAGAGCAGGGTAAGGCTTGGGATGTGCTTACTGAGAGTGCGGCTGAGTGGAGTGGGAGACTCACGGTAGTGCAGTTTGAGAATTGTGATGTGAGGGCTGAGCAGTTGGCTGTGCTGTTGAAAGAGAGTAGGGGGTGTAAGGAGCTGGGGTTGAATCGGTGTCGGTATCTGGGGAGGGAAATGTGGACTTCCCTGGGCGAGTGGCAGGGGAAGGCGAAGTTGAAGATGTTGGATGTAGCGGAGTGTGGGGGGTTGCTTGGGGATGAGGCGAGAGAAGTGGTGGGGAGGTTGGATGGGTTACAGGTACGTTGCTTTCGTATGCTTGTTGACGGCTGGTACTTGTATGCTAATACCAAGCCAGACTCTCAATCTCTATAACTGTCAAGAGCAGCGACCAGGAGAATTTGAGCGTCTGAATGAGGAACTCTGGCACATCAAAGACTTTACAGCACCAAGACCGGGTGGTTATGGCGAGAACATGATCATCGAGGTGGATCCGGACTACATCTTCTGAGATTGGGAAGTCAAGGTGGAGCTTTAAGAGTAAAGTGTTTCAATTGTTTATCTGAGCAAGCTAGGAATCGCAACGACGTGAGCGTCGAAGACCAGTCGCTCCAGCTGCCACTGTTTGTCTATATACGTATGATCTCTCGTGTGGCACCACTTGGGTATAGCCCTCACTGATCGATCCATCTATTCAAGCATCCACTGCCCTGCCTATCCGTCGACAGCTTCATCAATCCATGTATCCTAACCACCAATACTACCACGTAGTCCATCCTCAAAACTTCTCATACTGGCTGTAATCCATATCCGGGTGATGAAAAGGGCCGCGAACATAACCAGGAGGAGGTGGACCGAAAGAACTGCCCGACGACACGGAGCTCTGACTAGCCTCAACCCTGTGCTAAGCACCCTGACTAGCGCGAGCGCGGAGGTACTCGCTGTACTCTGACACGCGCTGTTCCTTGATCTGCCACTGAGCAGCTGCTTTGAGCATCTCCTGGTGAGCAATGATATCCTCAATGGGCTGGTTGTAGTAGGCGGCCGTGTGCTCTTCGTAGTGGTGACCGGGGTGGATCTGGGCTTGGTGTTCGGGGGAGTGCTGCATCGATGCTTTGCCTGTGTAGTGGTACATGTTGTTGGTGTTGGGCTCGGCGCTGGTGGACTTGGTGGCGTCTTCGGATCCGACGGGCGTGGCTTTGGTGGGGCGGCTGACTTCGTAGTCGACGTCGCATATGGGAGCAGCCCTGCGTGCGTTGTTGCGGGCGTGGCGTCGGGCGATGAGCTTCTCTTCAGCGGACTTGGCGGCGAGGGCCTCGCGCAGCGTCTTCATCTTGGCTTGGCGGCGCGACAGCCTGGCCTTGACGACAGCTTCTTCTTTCTCCAAGTCGAGCATGCGGCGGTACTTCGACTCCAAGTAAGCACCGATCATGGGCGGCGCCCAGTCCTGGACAAAGTTGAGCCCGAGGATTCCGTTGTAGACATCAGAGCTGTAGAGCTGCGACAACTGCTCATGCGCCTCCTCTGCTTTCATGTTCTTTTCCCTGACTTGGTGAACCAATTCGTGCCGGAGCGACTCGAGCCTTGCTTCGCGGATCACATCGTCGAGCGCTTTGCCGCATGATGGGTTGTTTAGGACGTTCCAGTACTCAGACAGACTGTTGTGAAGCTCGGCGATGCTGGGGCCGCCTTCAGAGATGTCCTCAGACGCAACGTTGAAGCCACTGTCGATGCGGAGGTTCAACAACTGATGCATCTCCTGCATGCGTGCGACGAGCGCATAGTATATGTCCTCGTAGTCGGCGAGAGGGCGGTCGGTGGCCTCTTCGTCCGCACGCTCGTAGATGCGTCCGTGAATGCGCTCGGCAGTGAGAAAGCCGTGAGGCAACAGGCTTGGGCCGACCTGCTTCTTCTGCAGACGGTCGAACAGAGTGTTGAGACTGGGACTGTAGATGTCGAGTTCGGGCTTGCCAAAGAGGTTGCAGGTTCCCGCAAGGTTGATGAGGTAGTTACTGAGCTTGAGGATGTGCTCGACGATGTAGTCGGTCGGGTAGGCTGTGGTTGCAGCTTGAACAGCCATCTGGCTGACCGCCACTGCGAAATCTGGGAGGAGAGTCTTTGGAGACATCTCAGGAGGTATCTTGGGTTGTGGAATGGAAAGTAAGAAGGTATGAGATGATCAAGGCGAGCTTGTTGGGGACGAGAGGGAAATGAATGATCGTGTAGAGAGCTGAAGAGTTTGCAGTCCAAAGTACTCTCAGTGTACGATTAATATTAGCGAAAAGGTTGTGGGCTTGAAAAGCTGGAATTGAGGGGGCTGGGAGACGATTTGGTAAAGTGAAGGTGAAGGGACACCCGGAAGTCAGATATCCCGTCTCCCTCACTTTGCTGGTATTGTTCGTGCAGGACAGTTGAACAATAGACTTGGGCTTATTAACGCGACACGGGGACGGCCCTGAAGGCTGCGATCGCGGGAACAAGGGTGCAGTATTGCTTGTTGCTGGAGAGACGACCATTTCGTGCGCGCGACGTCATTGATGGCGGCGAAACGCTCCGTAGCAAGAGACGAATCGCACCACTTAGTACCATTGGTAGAAAAACATCATCTATTCCGTCTCATGAGCATCCTACTTGCCTTAGTCGGACGGTGTTGTTGCCTGAAGGTGTGGGTGACCCAGATGATGATACTGGCGTCCTATCCGGGCATGCGCTGACTCACCCCCTCATCTGGTCATTTTTCAGGCTTTCAGGCTCCGTACCAATGCCCTCGCGTCGAAATTCCTTAGCCGGCGAGGCAGTTCATCTTGGATCCAATCCCTTCCGAAGAAGGCTCCGCTAGCAAGTGCTCCTGCAGTAGCCAGCCAGAGGATAGTCTTGGTAGTACCCGGTCGAAATTCTTCGCCTGTCTTTTCGTTACGATAAACAAAGTCACCCTTCTTCCAGAAGATGCTCCTGAGCCAATAGAGGAATTGCCAGTCAGGGTACATCACTGACAGAGTTAGCGCACGGACTCACACCAGCGTCCACCATCCCTACTTACTATTATTTAGACCTGTCTTCGGATCTACAGCCCAATTGACACAGCCTGAGTTCCAGACCAACTTGCTTGCTGCTTTTTGTGTCCATTGCGAGTCTGCGACCGCAGCCTCCGGCTTGACCTCTACGGTCGCCGGTGGTGGTGAGAGCATTTGAGGAACGAATGATTGCGATCGATATGATGGCAGTGACTCGAAGATGGGCTCTAGCAGCCGGAGAGTGAAGTTGATCTGGCACTCGACAGTGTAGATGACACTGAGATGGCCGGTGACGGTATTGGGCCCCATGAGGATGAAGAAGTTTGGGAACTGTGGGACCACCGTACCGAAGTAAGCTTGCGCGACGCCTTGTGAGGTTTTATCCCACTGCGATATACGTCAGTATATAGGTCTCATGCGTCGATTTGTGGTAGACTCACGTATTCGTTCAAGCGCAGTCCGTCACGCCCAGCAATCTCCATCGGACAAAGCATCTGCTGTGTTGCGAAGCCGGTGGCAAGCACGATGGCATCTGCCTTCACCTCGCGACCGCTCTTTGTTACCACGCCATCATCGGTGATTCTTTCCACTGGATCGTCGGCAACCAGCTCAATGTTATCTCTCCATAGGGTCTTCAGATAGTCTGTGTCCAACACCTTCCGTTTGCACCCGATTTCGGTCTTTGGAATGAGCGCGCTCCAATACTTCGGCGGCGCCATGCTCTTTACGTACGCTTCATTCTCCTTGGCCAGATTTTGGCGGATGCTGCGCCCGGTCTCAATGTCGAAACCACTCCAGTCGCGCTCCATGTCGTAGTAGAATTTCGCACGGTAGAGGCGCATTGCTAGTGGTACGTAGCGCATTACGGTTTTGAATGTATTTGAATAGTAGAGGTTCTGGCGTTCTGCAAGGTATTGCGCTTGTCGTCCGAATTGTGTGAGTTTGCGCACGGGGTTGGGCTCGTTCGCCATTATAGGGACGAATTGAGTTGCTGAACAGCCGTTTCCTGGGAGTTTGTAAGCATAATACTGTGCAGAGAATACATTGTGGCATACCAAGTACGACGACGTCTTTGTCCTTCCAGTCGAAACTGTGGTCCCATTGCGCAGAATGGAACAGTTTGCCCTGGTACGTATCTACTCCGGGCAGATCGCACTTCTTTGGTACGGAGAGTGAGCCCACACCCGAGACAAGTACCTTCGCTCGACGTGTGGTCCGTTCTTTGGTTTGAAGGTTCAAGATAGATACCTCCCAGACGTTGTCGAGATCGTTCCAAGCTGCTTTTTCCACTATGGAATGGAAGCGGACGTGATCCACGATCTTGTACTGCTCGGCCACAGAGCGGAAGTAGGCCTGAATCTCAGGACGCATGGAGTATTTTCTCGACCAATCTGGGTTCAGCGCGAAGCTGTAGGAGTAGAAGTGTGAGGCAACCTAGTCAGGTTAGCATAGTTTTCGGCACCGATAGCTGTTTGGACCCGGAACAACTTACATCGCATCCACAGCCTGGATATGTGTTTGCCAACCAAGTGCCACCGACATCGTCACTCTTCTCAATGAGCTCAAAGTTACGAAGACCGTACTTGCGAATGATTTGGACAGCGAGGCCCAGGCCGCTCATGCCCGCACCTATGATGAGAACCTCCGTATCGGAAGACATTATGAAGTAGCTTTAATAACTCGAAGATACAACAGGATATGATGAGGGGAGTCCAGAATCGCGACCAGCATCGGATAGAGCAATAGGGATACTTATACCTTTGACTTTACGCCATCTCCTCCGCTGATCCACTGATCCACACCCCAGAACGACCAGATCCCCATCGGTGGAGCCTGCGTCTCCCGTTCAACCTCATCGTGTCCGGAGTATGGGTGCCGTCTAACCTCTTCGTGCCTGTGTTCGCGCGTTGACGTTGAGGTATGGTCGTTGTTTGGGCAGGTCTGCCGAGCAGGAAGAAGGAAGTTTGCCGACAGCCAATGACAGACCTTGGCTGTTGCGGGGACCCCACACCTCGCACACGCGTGTATGCTTCTCGTCACGATCCGGATCTTTCGCTTTTGGCATCCCGACGTCTGCCTCTTCGATTGCGCGTACGATTATTAACATCACTTCGAATGCTCGTGGTGTCTAGAGTTGGATGTCGCGGGTAAGTGACGTCATCGCTTCGTCGCGGCGTTTTGCGATTACAACGCGCATCGCAGTCACAAAACGAACGCCAACCTCATCGCCTACAATGTTGAGGAGTACGACCGGGCGAAGAATGAACGTGTGGGATTCGTGCTTTTCCTAAGCCTGATTATAGGTGACAGCGAGCTGTCAACTGCGCCAGACTCGCAATGGGCTTACCGGCAAGTCTCGCACGCGACATATCGCCACCGCGGCCTTCAAAGCGACGAAGAACGTCTGAGGCAGATATCAGGAGCCCAAATTCAAAACCAAATGTGCATTCAGATGCAACGCCAACTGTCGCAAAGGCTTTACCCGCGCTAGCAGCAGTAGAAGCCGGCAAGGTCAAGATTGACGATCACCTTACTTACTTCAGAAACCACCTGGTGAAAAGCTCTAGAAACACAGCACTTGACGTACCAAGAATCTCAATCGATGATTTTGCCACCCTCTACCAGTATAACGCCAACCCTTATGGTCACCACTTTGTCGTTCATCAACACAACCACCCGATTGCGGGTGTACATTATGACCTCCGTCTTCAGTTCTCAGAAACGAGCTCGATGTCCTTCGCCCTTCCAAAAGGACTTCCTGGCGACCCCAACTCGCGGAGCATAGGCAGAATGGCGATCGAGACTAGAGTACACAACTACTGGAACCATTTGATCGAGAGTGCCAGCAGAAAGACTGGAAGCCTCATTATATGGGATACCGGAACTTATAGTATCTTGCCCAGGAGGAAGAGAAAAACCGGGATGCCAAGTCCACAGACTACGGATGACGACGAAACAGAAGACGATGAAGCGGCAAATGAGGGAAGCGAGGTTGTAGGCGGAGAGTGCCAGGAGAATTCAAAGCTGGTGGCAGCTTTCAAGACTCGATACATACGCCTACGTCTACACGGTACACGATTGCCACACAATTACACTGTCATGTTACGCCTCCCATCGAATGAAATAATCAAAAAGCCTACAGCGAGACGAAGAAGGGGACGATCTCAGCGTAGCTCTGCAACGCGAACCCCCGCGACCTCAAGTGACGAAGCTAGCGTCGCGGACGCATCCGTACACGAGGAAGTAGCGGATCAAGATCTCGACACCGACACAGAAGAAGATGATCAAACACGTACCACCAATGCATATCCGGGCTCGACGAACGATTTTGGGTCGGTACATCAACGGCGGTGGTTTCTCCAACTCGATCGGCAGAGTAGCGGGTTTAGTCCGGATGCCTCCGGCAGGGGAAGGGGGAAATGGACTGGAGGCTTCAACTCGTTCCTCGTACGCGGTCGAGACCATGAGCGAAGCGTTGTTACCGGAAGGTTAGCACGAGATGTTGAAAGCGACGAAGGAGTTGAGGATTTTGTAGGAAGGAGAGGTTGGACAGGAATCGAGCATTAGACATAATATACATTATACCGGACGTTAAAGAAGAGACACCTGCAATTATCCGGGTTATCAGAATGTAGTCACCACCTCCATATTGCCCTCGACGCCCCTCATCTCCAAAGCTCCACGCTTCGACTTCTTCGCTCCGCAGGTGTACACCATGTCGAAATACCACCGATGGGCTTCGACATCCATAATTAACCAGGCCTGGTTTCCCTGGAAAAGATTGGCAGCACCAGCGAAGGTCTGGATGTCGCCAGCCGATACCGGCTGTCTACTCGGCTTGTTGATGTAGTACTCAGGACTGATGTGAACATATCCCATGGTCAACAACGGCATCTTAGGAACAGGATCGTTCCAGTGCGTGACGCGGAAGTTGCCACCACGCTGGTTGCTGATGTAGGAGCTAATCTTACTTCCTCCTATCCTGGGTGATCCGAAATTGTACAACGCGACATTGTAGCCAGCAGTGCGCATACTGGCGGCGGCGAGAGTAGCGACGGCGCCTCCCAGACTGTGGCCTGTTACGGTGATCCTGTAGCTAGGGAAGGCTGTTATTGCTTGTTGCACGGCGGGTAAGACACTATCGCGCGCATCAAGCCAGGACTGCCAAAAGCCGCGGTGGGCAGTGCAGCCTGGGCAGATATCTGTTGTAGTGGTGCCGAAGTCGAGGTTTGTACGCCAGTCTTCGATGGTGTGAGTGCCGCGGAAGGAAACAACTACGAGTTTATTCGTATGATCGACTGCGACAAAGCCCGTCACATCGGTCATCGCATTCTCTCTGTATGCTATTAGCTTCCGGATCGTTCATGGCCATTCAGCACCCGCTGAAACTTGACGTCTGCGGGGGCTGGGATTAGACTCACCGGCTATACTCGATGACGGTGGTAGAGTCTGCGTCTTGAACGAGCGGGCAGTTGCCAGTGGAACACTCAATCTGATCTCCGGTGGAGTCATAGTTGTTTGAGCAATATGCTGCCGACGCATACTGCTCCATCAACTTGAAGTTGCCCAGAAGGTTTGGAGCGATACCTGTCACTCGTCAGTTACGCAATGACAGACATGTCGCATTACCAACTTACCTCGCTCCTGGATGAGTGGCGCAGCATTGCTGCCGATGGCGCCTAGCAGCACAGCAACAAAGAAAGTAGAGAAAGTAAGCATGTTGAAAATGAGTGACTGTTGGAAAAGAGTGACTTGGGAGGAGAACTGCAGAACCGTCTCGCGGCAATCCTAATCAGGCGTATTCCCACCTACATATAGGAACGACACAACCGACTCATTCTCATAGTTCGTAGTGTACCGCGGACGCCATCGTTTGCTTCATCACACGCGATCCAAGTCTGGACTTCCTAATGCGGAGGACTAAGCAGCCACGCTACCTACCGCTCATTCCGTAGTTCTCTGTGAATACCCAGGACGATGAAACCATTGGGACGCGTTTATATCCACATGCTTGCTTGTGGTTGAGCTTGTCACCTTAGGGAGGGCGTTCTGCGATGCCATTGGCCAAGCCAAGGACGGGAAGCGTGGGGCGGCGCGTCCGCCGCGGCACGACTTGCACTTTGACTTTGACGTTGACCAGACGGTTGTTTGGATAAGATTTGTTGTCGAAGCCTCGTCACTAGTGCGCGGCGCGTCCTTTTGGTGATGGGAAGAACAGATCCGAAGACACCAGTCCGGGAAAGGAGGTGGGGGAGTCTGTGCGTGGGCTAGACACGCCACTAGCGCGTGGCGCAACTAGGCGGGCACATCTAGGGAAGTTGAGTGAAACGATAGCATACTCTTTACTCCTCATTCTACTGCCATGCTATCACATTCAAGTGAATCTAGATTGCGAATCCCACCAGTTCTTCCGAGCAGCGAGTCGTCACAGCTTGGCAGCTACGGCATTCGCGACGCGTCTCAAAGGAGATCGCAATCACAGTTGTTACGCCGTTGAAGGCTATTCTATGGCATTCCACGTGCAACAGGTGTTGACTGCACTTGCGCGTGCTTGTTTTGCAGCAAACAAAGGACTGAACATATATGATTCTGGGGGTTATTGATACAGATTTCTCGCTACACACCATCTCCCCGCTTAATCTCCGATTGAGACTTACGGTAGAACCCAACGGAAAGCACTCAACTCCTACAAACCGACTACCAATGCTGCGCGATTTAGTCAAGAACGACGCGGAAGTGCTCATCGCTTTCCTGGCAGCAGTCATATTCTTCTGCTTCTTCGTGTCTGTCCTCATCCTATACATCGGCCTTTTCGTCGTCACTTTGGGCTTGCAGCATCAATATTGGCAAATGCAGGAAGAGACGACACGGCTTTCAGATGTTGCTGATCACTTCCAAGTTCGGATTGAGCGTATGGAAGATGAACTAGATGAAGAATTACACCTACGGCATGGGCGCGTCTTGTCCAGACGTCCAATAATCTAGGATATGGGATCTGGTCTGGATACATGCCTCCAGATGAGACGCATACATGGGCAGGCTTTCAACTACAATGGGCAAGAGTTTTGCAACGTTTCGAGTTCATGTAGATCGGGTTGTGGAAGCTCCGTGTCTCTGGTGTCTCAACGCAGCTGTCTTTGACGGCAAGATAGGAAATTAGATCCGCCAGGCTTAGGGGCATGTATTCGAAGTGTCTGAGACAAATGTGAGTCTTGTCTGGCAGCCGTGACAGTGTTTGGTACAAAAATGCTATACTCACCGTTATCATCTCTATCTTTCACAACAGTATTATCGCATTCTCGTTAATAGGCGTCTCCTTCAAACTTCATCACCGACTGTTTTCCTCGCTTCGACCAGCATGAGCAATATGCTAGCTTACTTTCAGCTGGGACCTCCGTCGGGATGGACAGAGTCAGTTGTTCTGCACGCAGTGCGGATCCCGTTTGCCATCGCTATTCTCTGTCTCAGCGCCTGGCTGTTCCCGTCCCTTCCAGAAAACGTCCTGTTCTTCTCGATGGGCTTGGTATGTCTCGATGTTCAATTCCACATACACAGCTAACCCTGCCACGAGGCTACCTTCACAATGACAGTCTGCATCGGCTCCATCACATTCCGATTCGTGTATCCGAGCACATACAGCATAAAAGTCGATCTTGCGAC